GGGATGGTGGACCAAGCAGGGTGCCACGCGGAATCTAAATGAGTCTGCTGGGTGAAGGGCTGGTGTGGGTTCACACTGGTTCTTAACCAAGGGCCCAGGGGCCTGACCGTGGAGGGAGATGAGGAGCAGGGAGGAGAGCGCTGGCCTTCCCACCGGACCCATCCTCTTCCTCCGTAGCAACAGTGCCTCACACTTTCGTTGTCTATGGCCTTCTAGAATAAAAGACATTTCCAGGCTCCCTTGTAGCTGGATGTGCAACAATGTTCTGACCTATGGGATATGAGTGCGAAGTGTTCTCAAGTGAGGGGACACCGCCTGCTTCCTTCCAGCTGCCTGGAATTCTTGTGTTGTGGCTGGAGCTCAGGCAGCCAGTTCGGACCATGAAGCCTTGTGCTCAGGAGAGGGAAGCCACAGAAGAGTACAGGACTTTGAAAACTGTGCAGCCTTCATACCTCACCTGTGCTGCTCTCCTCGGACTTTGGAAACTCCTGACTTGTTTGGGTTACTGTTACTTGGGGTGTTCTCAGACTCCAGTCAGACCTAAGTCTAGGAAAGGGGAGGACGGACAGGAGGGCTCAGATCCTGAGGACTCGCCTGGGACACAATGGACAGAACTTGGTTGCTAATTGGAGGCGGGCTCCAGGGAGTGAGAAGGGAGTGCCAAGGCTCCCCCCCGAGATCCCGTCTTGGGAGGCCGGGAGAACGGTTCACTCCACGTGCGCTAAGCACTTTTTGTGTGCCATGTACCACAAGAGCATGCAGGCGACTCACAGCATCCCCTGCTGCAAGGTGCTCTCGGTCCAGGGGGCACGGACGGCATGACGGCAGAGCCCCGACGGAGGGAGGGGAGTCCCTCCCCCAGGAGCTGCTGGGCCCTTCATTTATTCACTCCGCACAGGCCCTGAGCACCTACTATGTACCAGGCACCGTGTGAGGGCTTGGGAACAGCAACGAGTACCCCCTACCCGGAGAGGAGCTTATCTTAGGGGGTCTGATGGGGGAGTCAATCACCAAATAATCGTGGCTTTAAGTGGAAACATGACTGCTGAGTGAACCCCTGCCACGAGTGATTATGCCAGGGCCACGGGAGGGGCCACGGAGGCTCCGAGGGGATGTGTGATGCACCAGCTGCATGTGGTTGGGAGACTCCCGGGTGCAAGGGGTGCGGGCTCCCACAGGCAAGTCCCCGACCCATCTCTCACGTGTTCCTGACCCCTGACCTCATACAGCAGTGGACAGCTCACGGGGCCTGGCCAGAGTGAGTCTGGGCCAACTGGTGCAGGAGGGGGGCTGTTCAGGAGAGGCTGAGGTGGGAGCTGGGCTGCTGTGGGCAGGCAGGGACATGGAGAGGAGAAGACAGCCTTGGGCCGTATTTAGCAGGTGAAGTCAATAGGATTTTTTGTTGCAGGAAAGGGTGGAGGGCATGGCTCAAGCAGTAGAGCGCATGCTTAGCACGGACGAGGTTGTGGGTTCAATCCCCAGTATCCTCCTCTAAAAAAATTAATAAACGCAATTACCTCCTCCTCCCAAAACAAAAAAGAATTAAAAAATAATAGAATAATTAATTTTAAAAAAAGGATTTTTTGTTAAAGGATTGGAGATGGCTAGGAGGGCGTCACGGGAGTCACCCCCGACCCAGGCGTCTGACCTGTGTGATAATGATGGTCGGGTGAGGAGGCCTAAAGGCGAGCCTGCCTGGGAGGGGAGAACCGTGTCATCTGAAAATTTTTAAGTGGGGTGAGATACCTACAACATATGGTCCCGGTTCAGGGGTTGGGTTTTGTCCTGGAGTCCGTGGGACACTGTTGGGGTCACCCAGCCTCACTGCAGATGTTGAGCGCTCTGCGCAGGAGTGCCAGGGCCCGGGGACTGACTGTGGTGGGTGAGGAGGACCGTGCCTGGCTCAGGCCTGGACACAGGGAGGCTGTGGTGCACTGAGATGGGACCACTGGCCGGGGGCAGGTTAGGGGCAGAGGTAAGTCCAAGCTGGGCTCGGCCGAGTCTGAGGCATCTAAGATGTGTCTGTGCAGACCCTGACACCAACATTTAGGGTCTGGGTGTTGGCGTCAGAGCCCTGGGGACACCCACGTCTAACAGGCATCAGAGGAAGGGCTGGTAGAGGCCAGAGGGGTGGGGGGGAAGACGCGTCAGTGGGGAGGGGGGTGGGGAAGGGGCCACTGCGTCCCAAACTGCAGAGAGCGTGGCCATCACCGCGCTGAGCCTGGGGGAGGCCCTCTGAGATGGGATGGCAGTGGACGGGGCTGCGACTAGCAGGGGCAGCGACTCTCTCTGTGAGCTGTGCCCCCAGCCCACCTACCCCCGGGCTTCCTGGCTTCCATTCCTTCAGAGTGGGGCGGAAGGGAGGGGCTGGGAGGCAGCCTGAATGGTGGCCCCGGGGAGCCTTGGCACACATCGGACCCTCTGCCTTGAATCCCCGGCAGTTCTGGCCTTAATTAACGAATAGCTCAGGGGCACCCCCTCTCCCTATTCAGAAAGGACACGGCACCATGGAAACGTCCCCCAGATTCCCTAGGCAGGCGCTGTCTGATGGGGCCGCCCTCTGGGCCTGAGCTGCCAGGGCGGGGGCTCCCGGGAGAAGGGAAGGTGCCGGCGTCCGGCCGAGCAGCCCAGGCCCATCCCCACCCGCAGCTCTCCTGTGCTCAATCCAGCCGCAGCGAAAGGAGCCGGGGACCTGGATTCTGACTTTTTTCCTATGTTCCCCTGCAATTTTGAGGAATCTCATATTTAAAACCATCTGGGCAGGGCCCTGGGGGACACTCAGTTACCAGCCTTTAGGAGGCTCACAGGCCTTTCCTGTAACATGAAGACTTGCCGAGAGCACCAGGCCAGTGGCAGGAACAGGGGAGAGGGATTCTGTTTGCGCACGTGTGGATGTGTGTGTACGTGTTTATGTTCACACCTTCCCGCCAGCTTTCCTTCACCAGTGGTGGGGAGGCCCAGGGGTGGACCTTACTCCGTTATCCTCTCACCGGCTCCAGCTGAGATCCAGCCTCCGCCCCTGCCCCTCAAGGCTGCCTCTCTGCTGGCAGCCCCAGCCTCACGGCAGAGCAGTGGCAGCAGGCTTGCGGCTGGGCCAAGTGTCTGATGAACCCAGCCTTGCCCTGTCCCAGCCTCCTCAAGGCCCGGCCAGCTCCTCTGAAAGCGCCAAGTCCCCCAGATGAGTCATTTGCCGACAAGACACATGGTGATCGGGTGCAAAGACGGCCTCGGGCAAGGGCTGGAGCCAACCAGCCAGTGGCTTTAGACAAATTCAAAGCCGGTGGCTTCAGACAAAGCCACAGGTGCACGCGTGCTGTGCAACAAAATACTGGCAAACCGTGCTTTCCCACAAGTCAGCTTTATTGGGGGGGGTCACTGGCATCTATTTGATGCCAAGTAAGTTATTCCACCCCTGCTCCTAAAGAAAAAGTTAAATAGAATTGCGGGAAATACCCCCCACCGCGTTTCTTGATTGATGTCTAAGTCCTCGTGCGTGAACCAGGAAGAGAAGCTTCAGACAGATGCACGAGGCCAAGCGGGGAGGGGAGCAGGCTGCGGGGTCCCCTCCCTCCAGTTGCCTCTTCACTCCCAAGCCGGTGCTGTGACCAGAGCAAAAGCCGGAAGCCCAGAAAAACGGGGTTTCTGCAGCATGAGCTGCAGCAGTTGGAGGAAACGGAAAGTCTCAGGTTTGCAGGGCGACCAAGACAAGGGCCTGCAAAGCAGCCGACAGCGACGAGCAGCACGGAGAGAAACGCTCGCCCTGCCGAAGAGTCACAGGTAAACCACGCGTGAGGCCAGGACGCTGCCCGGGACAAATGTGGGACCGCGGGTCCACCAGCGCCACCCGGGGCCACCCGGCGCGCTCGCACGTCAGCTCCCAGATGCGAGTTCGGGGGCGCTGGCAGACCCGGGGGGCTTGGCAAGGCTCCGCCTGGAGAGGCAGGTGGCAGGTCTGTGTGGCAGCGTCCTCTCCTCAGAACTTCCGAGCCACCCGGGAGCAGGCACTGCTTCCAAAACCACAGAAGGGGTCTGAATGGGCTGAGACAGGGTCTAAGGGAATTTAGATTTTATCCAGATCTTGCGGGTGAATGAGGCTTTCGGCAGAGGGTATTTCTTTCTTGAAACTGAGGCAAAGCTCTGTGGCACCCATGCTAGGAGAGCTGAGCTCGGGGGCCAGGCTTCTCCTAGTGCCACTGGTCTTCTTGTTGGGACGGTCTTCCTGAAGGGCCGTGGGGCCCGTCCAGCGGGGCAGCACCGGAGGCCAGCACAGGGGCAGGTGGGCCCTCTAGGCCCCAGGCCCGTCTCCTGCCCCTCCCTGTGCGGCTCCCACAGCCCTAAAACCCCAGCCCTAGGCCCCGGGCCCTGTAAGCACCCTGGGCACCTGGCATTCTCCAGGGGACAGCTCTGCGCAGTGTCTGAGGGTCACAGAGCCACAGTGAAGGGCGCCAACCACTGGACATCCGCTGAGGTCACGGCCCTGAGCTACGGCTTCAAGACTGCTTACTTTTTCTAGATCAACACCCGAGGAGCAGAGGCAGACCCATGTCTATATTTACAACGCTCTGGGGCATTTTCTTAGAAAACTCAGGTCCACGGGCAGACCTTGCCTTTCTCAGCTCTGCTGACGGCCAGGCCCCTGCAGTGACGCCAGACCTGGGGTGTACAGTGGTCTAGATGCCCTGAAGCTTGCACCCAGGCCTGAGGCTTTTCCTCTTCGTCCATCAGCAAAGCCTAATCTCACAAAGAACCAGAGCCCAGCTTCTGAAAAGACCTGTGTGCCACACCCCTGGGGCTGTGGCCCCTGGGAGCCGAGCCAGGGTCTGCACATGGCGAGGGGCAGCGGTGGGGGCAGTGTGTGTGTGTGCCGGCGGGACACTTCTCCGCCCTCCCTCCCTCCCTCCCTCTCCCCTGGCAGCCCCGTGGAGGCTGCCACACCTGCCTCTGGTCTTGGGGAACAGCTTTCCCTCTGCAGGTTTCAAAATCAGATGTGATGCTACTTCTGTGATTATAATTTGGTGGTTTTTTAATCCACCCAGTGACAAAACCTACCACCCAACTCCTTCCCAGGAACAGCAGCTCTTGGGGACGGGGTCCCAAGGGGATAGGGAAGATGACAGAAGACAGGTCCGTGTGGTGAGGGGCGGGAGTGGGGAGCCCGAGGAACAAGAACCCATTTGGGGACCCTGATGTCATCCAAGTCTCAGAAACTTCTGACATGGCAGCGTTTCGTCACAGGGATGAGGGGAACCCACCCCCTACCGCGGGCCTGCCTCCTCGCACACTCCTCCAAAAGGTTCGGCATGGCGTGTCCAGCCTGACCTGCTGCACTGAAGGCGGGGCAGATTCTGGCCGGCGGGGACGTCGAGGAGGATGAGGGGGGCGGTGTCAGCGTCAGCTCCACGTGGAGCAGCTCTTCCCAGTTGCGGCCAAAGCTGGCCAGTGAGGTGCCAGGAAGGCGTCTTTCCGGGGCTCCCTGGCTGCCCATCGATAGGGGGAGGTGCATCTGTCTGGCACTTAAGGCCACCATGTGAGCTGCCCCTGGGGAGGCGGGAACGAGGCAACCACCCCCAAGGGCACAATAAAGGCACCTGGGATCCTTAAACCCGCGAGGCAACAGGCAGAACAAGAGAGACCGGGAAGGCGTGCAGGCGCCAAGCAGGCACTGTTCTTTTCCTAACAAGACACACTACTTTCCAGTTTTAGGTATCCTGTCCTGTAGAACACGCCTGGTCCTCTCAACCTAACCTTCCCCTCAGAGCATCACCACGTGAGGGGCGGGGAGGCAGTTTTCCTCGTGGGCAGAGCTGGTGCCAAGACGACCTCGTCCGAGTCGTCCGAGTTCACTTCCTCCGCGGGTGGAGGCATGGCGGGCTGCAGCCCCGAGGGAGAGTGCTCCGCTGAAAGGAAGCAGAGACAGGAAGGGGGTCACCCCAGCGCTCAGGGCCGCCAGTCCAGGGCACAGACGTCCCGGATCAACTTCACGCCACGCCACCACGCCACCCTCACTGTATGCACCCACACCACCTCCACCGATAAGCTCAGCTGCAACATTTTGGTCATTTCCAAAAAGCAAAACACCTGCGAAAGGTGAAGACTGGGGCGGCTCAAGTCTTTGGCAGGAATTTTCCACGAGCCACCCTGGCAGCAGCGTCCAGGAGCCTGGGGCCCTGGGCGGCTGGCTGTGACTCGCGGGCAGATGCGGCCAGTGGCCGCCAGCTTCCTTGGGAGGACATGGGGGCTCGTGCACTGCACGCCCCCGCAGGTGGGGGAGGCGGGACAGACGAGCCAGCGCCCGGTGACACCCCCACTTCCACTCCTGCCATCACACACATCCAAACCCTTCAAATCCCGTGACAGATGCTGGACGGGGAGGCTGCCTGCAGATCACCGCCACCCTGAGTGCCACCTGGACAGCATGTGAGGAGGGGCAGGGCCCTGCCGGGCCATCGCTCCCAGCCCCAGGAGGGGGCCTTGCCCTTACTGCTTCATAGAGTGAAAAAATAACCAGCCACTGATCTGCGATTAAAAGGGAAGGAAATTGGGACTCAGCCGTGCTGCGGCTGCTCTGGGTCAGCTCTTCTTCTGTAACTTTCACGAAAATTATTAAAGTGGAAGCTTATGAAATTAAAAACATCAGTTTTCCAGGTTATTTTCTTTTTTCCTTAAAAGCACTTCCACAGTCAGGCCACACCAGGGCTTGATGTCCACTTTTCAGAGATGGTTTCTTTGGGTGAATGAGAGCTGGACGCTGGAGCCTGGTCTGAGGTGGATCTTTCTGGGCAGAGGCCGAGTGGCCGCTTTAAAATGACACACATTTAACAAGAGGAGAGAAAGGTGGCATGAACGACACTCTAGCCCCAATCAGAGTCTAGAGGTCATCAAACGTAGGTTCTGGTGACATCAGTGTGAAACAGGCTTTTGGAGGACAATGTGCAGCTATGGGGGCTGGAAGGTTCTGGGGCAGCCCCCTAGCTCTGTGAACTCCCTTATCTTCCCTGCACACCCTCTGCTGCCGATCTGTCTGCAAACAGAGGCTCTGGGGAGACCGTCCAGATTCAAAGTTACCAGCTCTCCCAGAGCTGGGGCAATGGGGTGAAGAGCCGGGGGCTTCTCCCAGACACGGAAGGGTGATGCCTTGGGACGCCTGCACTCACCGGGGCCGGGTGGCGGGGCTGCCGGCTTTCCTGGGCCCCTGGGTGCTTCGTGCTCGGGAGCTGGCCCCTCCGCCGGCTCCCCGCTGCTCCCCTCACTGTCTTCCTGACCTGAAATGACACACACAAGAAACTCCCATCTGCACGGAGACTCACCATACCCCCCGCCTTCCTATCCTCACATTTTTGGCCCAGAAAAACTGCTTCCTTCTGTAGTCTGTCGTTGGCATGAAGCGCCGTTCCCTCCCTGCACCTGTCCTCCTCCGATCTCATCTCTGCCACCCCAGACTCGGCCCTGGAAGCCCTTCATGGAAAGGTTCCCACGGGAGCCACGTGCGACGGCGGCCCACTGGCCGCCAATCACAGAGGAGACTCGGGCCTACGCTGCTCTGTCTGTGACAGACCTCAGAATGCCACCTGTGTGCCGTCTCTGGCCTTACAGAGATGGCCCAGAGCTTCCCAGTTACAGTGCGAGGCAGCAGCACCGAGGGACAGTCAGACTCGCAGGATGTGGGTCCTGAAAGTGGCTTCCAAGCGGCCTCACACACGAGGAGTGGAGGCCCCGAGGGGCCCGCATGTCCGGGGAGTGATGGAGCGGGGCCCAGGCCCCGGAGGGCGGCGGCGCCCCCGTCAGTGCCAGGACTTCTGCGCTGACGGGTTTCAGGTTGCAGCGAAGCAGGAAAGGAAGCACAAGTGAGCCTCACTTAAAACAACCACCAGGAGAAACACCGGCCCAGGGAGGAGCTGCCTCGCTCCGGTTAGACTGAGATAAAAATCAAAGCCATGAAGCTCCACCCGCGTGGCCCGTGGTGGTGGGAGCACCACTGTCACCGACCAGGAACCGGCTCCAGGTCAGGCTCCGGGGAGTCCTGTGGGGGCTGTCCCTTCCCGCTACAACCCGAGGCACCAGGGACGAAGCTGTGATGGGGAGACATCACTCGGCCTGCAGGTGGCTGCGCAGGCATGCCCCTTCACGCGTCCAGCTTCAGGGACGGTGGCAGCACTTTTGGCTTAAACCTCAGAAGGTCCGCAGCTCCTTACACGAAATCCGAAATGAAATGAAATCATCAGGAGAAGCTGCAGGGAGGGGTGAGGACAGGGGTTCGCTGTGCGGGGCCCAGGCAGATCTGTCCGCGCATGCTGCAGCAGTGGCTCTCTGACCGGCGGCACTGGGGAAAGCAGAGAAACCAGCTGAATCTGACGTCAGAGCAGGCCGGCCTCGTCTGCGGCCTGCTGCCAGGCGCACCCCCCGCCGGAGGCCCCTGCCGCACAGAGGTGCCCAGCATCCCTGCCCGAGCCCCGGGCCGCGTGCTCTCAGCCTCGCTGTAAATCCCACTCCTTGGCCGGGTCGGCGTACACGGGGGTCCGAGCTGCTGCGGCTGGACAGTCCTGGCTGGACCCTGGTGGCCCAGCAGGCACGGTGCCGTGGACGAGGAGTGCGGGATGCGGCGGGAAGGCCCCTGACAACACCCACGTCTCCCTGAGCACAGGTCACGCCACACTTCCTTCAGGAAGGGGCAGGGCATCGGGACAGGGGGCCGCCCAGCTGCGAACTGATGGTACCAGGACCACAAGGTACCCACGCCTTCCCTCCGTCTCTCCCAGCAGGAGGAAATGCTCCTAGAAAGGCCTCTTCCCGAGGCCCAGAATTGGCGGCCCACCCCTCCCCGGGAGCTGCGGGAGGAGCCTTCCACAAGGTGAGCTAGGTCCCAGGCCCGGCCCCACCCCCGTGCCTGGGCGCGATGTGCCTGGGCGGGTGGACAGCCCCTGTGCGCGCCCAGCACCGCCCTCAGGACAGAGGTGGCCTGCCGGGCGGACTTACCTGTGCCTGGCCCGTGCCAGGTGTGCCCGGAAGACGGACTGGATGGTGGTGATGGCCTCCTCTTGCCCCGGGTCACCCTCGGCCTGGACGACGGGGCTCAGAACGTGGGGCGGGGGGGAGTCCTGCGGCAGTGACAGTGGGGAAGGCGCCGCTGGAGACCTCTGCCACCTTCCTCCTCCAGGCCCTCAGCGCCAGGTGAGAGCACAGCTCCGAGTCAGGTGGTTCCCCTCGTTCCTAACTACTTCGGCGGAGTTTCCCGATTGCAGGTTAATTCTTAGACTCCAGAGATTCTTAAAGTGCATGTCTGGGTGTTTTCACGGGGGGGGGAGGGCTGCTACAGAACGCTCCTGTCTTTGCTGTGTTTTCAGCTTATGTCTCAACTGCGAGGCGGACGCGCTGCTGCTGCTCCTGCACTCAGAGCGGTCTGCAGCCTGAAGCCCAGGCCAGCTGTGACCCCTCGGGCAGCTCAGGCCGCACGCGCCTTGGGGCGGGGGGCGAGGCGGGACGCGAGGACCGCAGGGTGCCTGCCCTGTCTCGTGGGGATGTGTGAAGAGAAACGGGGGCAGAGCTCAGAAGGCGGGGTCTGTGTGCAGCCCCCGAGGGTTACCTGGCTGGGAGGGCTTGGCACGCTGGGGGGACGCGAGCCGCACGCTCTGCTCGATAGCAGCTTCGCCCGCGCTAGGTGCCCCCGGAAAGCCGCCTGCAGCACGGTAGCCGCCTGGCAGGAGAGGAGGGAGAGGTGGAGTCAGCTTCCCCGGAAGACGGCAGGCGCAGCTCACGGGAGGTTCCAGAGGGAAGACGCCTTCCCTTCCTCCTGCGTGATCACGGGCATACCCGAAGGAGCCCCCGTCTCCTCTGCTCACCCAGGATCTCCTACAGCGAGAAACACCAACCCTCCGGGGAGAGAAAGGCCCAGACGCCCGAGCCCACCGTAAACGATCTTGGAGGGTGAATGCATCACCCATTGAACGCGATTAGGCGGCTGCTAACGTTAACCCGCATCTCACACTCAGTTTGGTTCCCACGTAGAGACGGTTATTCCGTGTGGGAGCAGACTCTCCTGCTTCTGCTTTAGAAGGTGGACACCTTCTAGATCAAGCAGGGAGGAGCACGATCGCAAACTGTCGCCAAGGGGTTACTCATCCTTCGACCTTAATCTTGAATGTTTTCTTTAGAAATACACATGGATGCTGAGCAAGATCAATGCTCTGGATTTTCAATGATCCTGCCTCCAGCCCCGGTTAAAACTACCCCTGACGGGGGCCACTGGGGAGAACGGCCCTCTACCAGCACGCTGAGTCCCGGCACTCGGGCTTGCGTTCAGCGGCTCAGACGCTTCCACCATCACAGTCCCCCAAAGAAAACACCTTTGTTTTTCTTGAAGGCAAGTTGGGGGAAACGCCACAGCCTTGGGGGTGGGAAACAACAAAGGGAGGTGAAAGAACGTGGTTCATTAAGGACAAAGCAACCCGCTAAAAGCAGCTGAGTACTGCAACTAATGCACAACACCTGGCTGCCAGGGCAGCTTCTGCCTCCGCTGGCAGGCGAGGCTCACTGACCAGAGACCAACAAGCAAGACAGAAAGGGGACAGAGTGTCCACCTGGGTCACAGATGCTCCACACAGCCCTCTGAGGAACCCCCAACCATTCCCGCATTCAAACACTGAAGGTACCACGCTGGGAAAGGGACAGAGTGGTGGCAGAAAGATAGAGAGTGTCCCCAAGTCCACGGAACTTAATGTTCTCACGCGAGAGACAAGCAATTTTAAAAAAAAGGTCAAGTATCAGGCGGGGGTAAACGCCCTGAAGAGAAACAAGGCAGGGCGAGGGGCTGGAGAGTGACAGGGTGCGGGGCCCAGAGAAGGCCACGTCTCAGAGGAGACCTGGACACAGTGAGGGAGCAGGGCCAGCGAACATCGGGAGAAAGGGCCTTCTAGGCAGAGGGGGCAGCAAGCGCAAAGGCCCTGTGGCAGGAACAGCCTGGGTATTTTCAAGGACGCCAGAGATGCCTCCGGACCGAGCAGGGCTGGAGGGCTGGCCAGAGAGGGTCGCAGGTAGGACTTCAGGGAACAGCTCGGGTCTGCTCCAGGTGTGAGAGGAAGTTGCTGTGGAGTGATGTGATTTACCACTTACAAACGCGGCCCTGGTGTCTGCATGGGGAACGGGCCGTGGAGGTGGGGCAGAAGCAAAAGCAGGGCGGAGAGGGGGTGGTGAGACGGTCCCGGGGCTTATATCTGCGCCGCCCACAGCAGACCCCGTCGTCCGCTTCGAGTTCCAGTCACACCCCTGTTCTCTCTTCCTGAGCAAGACACACCCTGACGCTCACTGGGGCTTTGCTGGAGCGAATTCTTCCACCCAGGAGGCCCGTCCTCTGACTTCCCAGTCCAGTGAGTCCCTGCTGGTCTCCAGGGCCCCCTGCAGGGACGGTCCAGCGTGGGCAAGCAGCCCCTCGGCCGTGGGTGCGGCCCTGAGCCCACCTTCTGCCCTGGACTGGAGCTGCCTGTTTGTCTCAATGTCTCTCTGTGTCCTGAGGGCCCCCGGCTTGCTGGACACAGAACTGATGATCAGTAAAAGTGTGTTTAGAGAGTGAATGAGTGACTGCATTCTGAAAGTGTGAAATTATCCAAGTATTTATTCGGTGTTAATGTCACTCATGTGTTTTAACTCAATGTTGGGGTCTGCCCCGACCTCGTGAAAACAAGCACGTAAGGATGTTTCTTGAGGCCCGCCCCCGCCACCCCACAATCACCTGAAACAAAGTAAAAATACGCATTTTTTGAAATTGGTGAAGTAAAACTTGCTTACCTCACTCAGAACAGCCTTATTTTTCTGAAATAAAGAGATAAGTTATGAATTAACACGATGAATTTTTTTTTATAATACAGTGCTCATTTCTTGATTCTGTCCCTGCCACAGCCAACAGTGATGGAAAAGCAGAGTCGGGGGCCCCTCCCCACCTCCCACAGCCGAGGGGCTCCGTGCCTCCCTGACGCCTGTTCCGCAGCTGACGGAGCTGAGGGAGCCAGACACGCCTGCGACAGCGAGGAGGCAGTGGCCGTGATTAGGAAGGAGAGTCACAGTCGAAGACGAGGGTGTGTTGGGGGCGTCTGCGCTGCTCGGCCAGCTGTGTGGCAAACAAGTGACTCACGGGGACCAACTATGATGTGGGCGTCCTGGGCTCCAGATGAGGAAGCCGCTTCCCTCAGCTTGAGCTGCCCTAACCCGGGGTGACCTCTCTGGGTGCTCACAGAGCGGCTGGGCGCTGCCGGCTGGTGATGTTACGCAGGGGATCCGCAGGCAGGGGTCTGGGTCGCCGGCTCCCAAGCCTGAGCAGCCATCAAGACCGGCAGGGGATGTGAGAAGAAAGACCCAGCCGCACCCCCGACACACTGAAGCAGCACCACCAGGGTGGGCTCCGAGGATGTGTGCTCTTAGGGATGTGCGTGGAGCCCAGTCCTCCCGACGTGCAAGCCCCGAGCACAGGAGTCAGGAGGTCCCCAGGCTCCAGCCTGGAGGCCAGTGGGGGGAAAGGCCTTGGTGGTCTGATGGGAGCCGTGGGCTGGGGCAGGGCTCTTACGCGGAGCAGAAGGATGGCATTTGCGGAGGTCACACGTCCTGCCCGCCCCCACCCTGACCCCCGACGTTGTCTGAAGTGACCGAGTGAGGTAAGACCAGTGAAGGAGGCAGCGCTGGCAGCCACGACGCTACCCAGAGACCGAAGTTAGAGACACAGCAGGGGACCCCTGGTTTCACGTGAGTCTTACAGCGAGGCATCACCTACGAGTTCTTCCCCCAGATCGTTTTCGACCTGAATTGAGTCAAGCCTGTGGACCTAACTTCCCATTTACGGGGAGGGCAGGGGACAGGGAAGCACTGAAAGGGCACCAGGAGCCGTCTGATCCCAGGTGGGGGACAGGCTCCAGGACATCCTTAAAAGGGTAAGGGTAAACGACACTGAGGAGACCTCAGCAACTGAGTGTAGTGCTTTCAGCGGATTCGGGCCCGAGTCCAACCTTGGTTGGACCCTGGTTTGGAAATGACAGTTACGAATGGCGCCTTTGGACAGGTGGGAACTGGGACCACAAAGAGGATGCTAGATGGGACTGTGAAACTGTTCAGCCTCTCAGCTGCAGTCATGGCTCTGTGGTTAAGCAGCACACCTCATTTTCAGAAGATACACGCTGGCCTCATAACGCCTAAAACTTACTTTCGAATGGTTCTGGAAAAAATAGTCCGTATCGAGAAGAAACACGGCTAAGTGAACTGTTGCTGACTGGAGGTAGCAGACAGGAACTAGTACACGGCGGGAGGGTGTGTGTGTGTGAAGACACTGAGCTCTTTCAAAACTTTTCTGCATTTTGTAAGTTTGCTTAATAAAAGTCAGGAGGAAACAATGATTAAAACCCTCCACCGGCAGCCTTTGGAGCTAAGATCTTATAAAATCCAGACGAACAGAGAAGTCCAGTTCCTGTCTGTTTGATCAGCTGGGGAACAGGGCTGTGCTGTGCTTTACAGAACTGGGGAGCTCGTCCACAGCGTTCAGTCATTGCAGAGCAGGACGGTCATCAGCGAGCCGCCCCGGAGCTGAGAAAGGAAACCGCGCCTCCCTCCATGAGAGGACGCCGGCCGTCCCCCTCCTGGCCTATTGCCCGACGTCGCCCCAGGCACACAGGGAACCCAGTGCAAGCCCACAGCCCCTGCTGCCCCCTGCCCAAAGGTCCAAGACTCACGAGCGCAGCCCTCCTGTCCTGTCACCCACGTCATCCATGCCACCCACGCCATGGACCTCTGAGGAGCAGCCCCGAGGCCTGCAGTGCCAGGAAAACCCCTCAGCTTGGTCCCACGGTCCAGTGGGCTGCACCCGGAGCCGGTGTCCCCGGACTCAGCTCACTACGTGTGTGCCCAGCAGGGAGGGGACAGAGGCCTCCGGACAAGCCACTGCCTAGTCCCATCCAGCAAACGGAGCAGGCTGCTTCTCCAGGAGAGGGGAAGGGACCCCTTGGCTCCCCCTCCCCGGCTCAGCCCCCCTACGCAGCTCCGCCTTCACTCCCCCCCCCTCCCCCGCAAGGCTCCAGGTGTGGCTTCCTCGCTCCCCTCCGCCTAGGTCCGGTCCCTTCTCTGCGAACATTCTGCTCCCCTACATTTCCCCACATGTCAACCGCGTCTGGCACGGAGCCCGCCTAGGGAAGGGGCCCAGTAGGTATGGGCACATCAGCACGTGAACTACAAAGGCGCGGCCGCGGCTGGCAAAGCCAGCAGGGTCGCGTGGGCGCGGGCAGCTCGCTCACCTGGTACACCTGCCACCGGCTCTGCAGGAGCCGGGCGGCGGCGTCTCTCCTCCCTGCAGAGCAGGCGGAGGGCGGTCGGGAGGGGCCGCCCTCTCTCCAGTCACTGTCGGGCCCCGGCTCCGGCTCCGAGTCTGGCTGGGAGGGGCTGACGGCGGGGCTGGGGGGCCGGGGTTCTTCCTGCGTCTGCAGAAAAGCCAAGGTGTGACAGGCGTCAGAGCGGCAGCGGGGAGGGCCCCGGGCGGGGCGGCAGGACATCAGGGCCGCGCTTGACCTGACGCGGGGAAGCTTATCAGACTAGACTTTCTGATTTACAGGAAAACCTGTGTCCTCACCGCTCAGCGTGTCAGACGACAAAGAAGTCTCTGGAGAAACAACATGTTCGCTAGTGAACAGGGTGACGCTGGGTTTGGTCAGCCCGGGGGCTCCATCCGGCAGGGCTCCCCGCGGGAGGAGGGCGGTCGCCCGCCAAGTGTCCGGGAGGCGGCTGGCTCCCACAGCCGAAGCGCACTTCCCCAGCTCAGCACATCTGTGCGCTAGCGCAAGAATGACCTGCTTCTCCGGGGTCCTTTTTCGGTCTTTTATAGCCCAATGCTGGACTACACGAACGGGACTTCTGAGATGAAAGGCTTGGATTTTAAGGCAGAAAGAAGCAAGAACTGCTGCTGTGGCCATCAGGACATTACTGACTTCTGCCACTGAAGGGGCCAGATTCATTACCTACAGAGCACCTTCCCATAAGCATAAACACTTGGACGTGTCCTCACGTGGAGGGTGGAAGGCCAGCTCAGCGCAGACGCCCTTCTCAGTGGAGGAGGCCCCGTGAAGAGATGCCGTTGCAAGCGCTCTGAGTCCGTGCCCTGTGAGGCCGCGAAGCTGCAACCCCACGCCCGGCCCAGGAGGCCTGCCCTCCGACTAGGCACCGTGCCCCGAGCCAATCAGCCGCTGTCATCACTCTCCAGGCTGCTCCAAGTTACTTCTGCCAAGGTTCCCCACACAGCCTCTAAGACAAGCCTCGTCTCCCCTCCTCCCCGACCCAGCACAGCTCCAGCCCTCTGCTCCATGGAGGAGTCCATTCCGCGTGGCCTGTGCTGCTGTGAGCAAGAAGGCAAAACCCGTGACTTAGAAGATAAAGAAAGACAAATTTACTCAAAGAACTCCTGCCAGACAGCTGGAAGGATTTCAACTTTGATACATACAAAAATTCCTCGAAGCGCTATTAAAAACGGACCCATGTCACCTTGTTTAAACCTCTGATTACTCATCCACAGCCGAATGCTGGGAGCTGGTTCCCCTGTCTGGAGGAACACAGAATCTTCCCAATTAATTCCATTCTCTTTCCTTGAAATGGAAATGCTTTCCAAGCAGGGAAAAAACTCAAAACTAAACTTTGAAAATAAATATTGAGGGTAATTTTGACACCCAGCAAATCTCCTAACCCCGCCCCCAAACAGGGGAATGGCAGACACTAAGGCTGCAGCCCCTTGAGGAAAAGGACTCTCATCGGGGTCTCTGCCGGCCCGGCCCCCGGCTCCCATGAGCCAGGGGTAACGGAGCTCAGGGAAAGGAGGGGAGCCTGCTGCACGGGCTGGACCCTGTCCAGTCGGTCAGCGCCGGAGGCCCTCAGGACAAGAGGCTACACCCGGCTCCTCTCCCGGGCGGGATCTGTGTCCAGTGGATGCATAGGGAGGAGGTCAGGGCTGAGATGACCTTTCCTCCGTCTCCAGGTCAGCACCTTGATAAGACACCAGGACACACTTGTTTTCCTTCTGTTCTTGGTGTCTGCGGAAGGCCTGAGCGGCAGGAGGGAGGAGTCCGCGAGAGCCAGAGGGATTCCTCAGACAAAGCTGTTATGTCACTTCCGGGGGACGTGGAGAATATTTTTCTCCCTAAGGGAAACATAACTTTTGGGGGTGTGAGCCTGATAAATGAGCACAGCCATCCACGTTCCCTGGTGTTGGGTGCCTCCCAGGAGTCAGGGCTGCCTGAGGCGGACAAGTCATAAGTCGGTCAGCACCAGGAGCACCTCACTTGGAAAGGAGATTTTCACAGCACCCGGACAGGGACACGGCACCTCCAGAAGACACACAGTGCAGCTCCGCCCACGACACGCCCCGGCCGTCAGCGGGTCCCCTCAGCCTCCCGGCATCCCCCTGGGGCCACCAGCGCAGGCATTCGGGGAAGCAGGCGTCTCCTGAAAACGGACCATGGTGCAGAGTGGCCCGGTTCCTGGACGCAGGGACAGTGGTTCTATGGCACCCAGAACGTTATCCAGAGCACTGGAAGCTCCACCATGGAAATGCGCCCACGTGGATAACACAAGAAGTCTGCTTTAGCAAACGACAGCTTCAGAAGGGATGGAGGCGGACTCACACTGTCCAGTCCACCCTGGCCAGCAGGACACGCGGGATCGCGGGCACGGCACGAGCGCCGGGGGCTCCTGCTAGCACGCGCCAAGAGAGCCACCTTCTTTGGCCTATCGGTGGCGCTGTGGTGCTCCTCAGCGTCCCCAGATCCCCTGTCAGCTCTTCCTGAGCCGGAGATGCAGCACCTGCAGCGTCTTCGGCTAGAAGATTCCAGCTAAACAAGAAAGCCTTGGAAGGGGGGGCCAGTCCAGAGTAAAAAAAAAAAAAACCCTTCTGTTTTCAGCTCTCAGCAGATAACTCCATGCTGAGCCTGGGACGCCTTCCTTCTGGTGGCCAGAGACAGTCCGGTCAGGATCCTGGCTCCCGAAGCAACAGAACTCTTGGCTAAAAGGTGTCCTAGGTGAAGCCCCGCCGCCCAAGGGGACTTGGCGTGTCACTCGAACCTTCAGTTGGGGCCGCAGAAGAGGGACGGCAGAGGGGCTGCGGCACTGACTGTCCCTCCCCGCGTGCCCCGGGCGGGCCGCCCCGCCAGCTGGCTCTCCCATTGCGCACGCACGCCCCACGGCTCTCCTGGAGCAGGCTGCAGCCGCGGGTTCCAATCCCTCAGTTACTGGTTTTCTGTATTAACAGATACAGGATCATACCTGCCATCTGGAGAATCCACTAATTGGGAAAAAAGGATTTGTGAGGAGGCACATTCTAGCCACCAGAAGTCTGAGTGCAGGTAGCACTGGGCCAGCGGGAACCAAAGGGCCCCCCGGGACCCGCTCGCCTTCGTGTCCGGAGAAGTGGAGGGAGCAAGGGGCCAGGGATGGGGGGAGGGGCTGCCCAGACCGACCGCCTACCTGCCCACAGGTCCTGCCGAGGGAACCACCACTCAGCAGTCCTTCAGTACCCAGAGCAGGTGCGGGGACGGGAGAAGCCACGCTCTCCCCGCCCGGCCTGTGTCAAAGGCAGACGCTGAAACCATCACTAAACACGCAGGGTTCCTCACTGAGGGTTCATGCCTCCCCTCCAGCCCTTCTCAAACTCTTTCTCACTTTCTAACGGACAACCCTTGTTGGATGTTTAAACTTTTCATACATTTCAAGTTTTGGTTAAGATCTTCACTCACCAACTTAACCATCTAAGACGCAAATACTCATTTGAAAAGTCCATTAATGGGCAATCAGTTAGTCCAGAACTCCAGGATTCAAGACACAATTGATAGAAATCGACGGTGATGATAAAAGGAAACTGGACTGTCAGTGCTGGAGTCAGGAAAAACTCTGGGTACGGAAACAGCCAGAACCGTCACGCGTCAGCTTAGAGTCCCACCATGCCTGGACAGGAGCTCAAACCGCAGCCACACCATACCTCAGGAGTCATTTCCACGCGGCCATCTTCCTCTTCATTCTTCATTTCTTCCAATTCTCGAAATTTCTTGGTGAGTGCTCGAATTTCTTCTCTAAAGTGGGACGGGAAAAAAGGACTCCTTACTGGTCGCCATGCTGTGTAAGACGGCTGTACGTGACAGGAGGGGTGGCAGCCTGTGATGTGGGCACCGGCCAGCACCCGACTGCCCTGGGGACCGCACCGGAGACCCCACTGGGCCCCACGCCTGGCACAAGTAGGTAGGAGCGGAACAAGCACCAATTGCTTGAATGATGAGTAAGAGTCACTGGGGGTCTTTAATGGAAGGAAACACGACTCTTGTCCTCGCCACAGATTTTAAAGGCAAAGCGAAGATAATTCTGTGCTGTGACCTGCCCCTACTGATTTACCTGAATTCTAGCCTTCTGACAAAATCTAGTCACATTTATTCTGAAAATAAAGTCTTTACTTCATCTCAGTAATTTGTTTCTCACTAACTACTCTGAGTGCTAAGTATTTCTGCTTAGATTTCTAATCTGCTGGTTTTGGGTGATTGAGATAAAATCCGTGTAACACAAAATTCATTACTTTAAAGTATGCAATTAAGTGGCTTTTAGTGTGGCCACAGTGTTGTTCAGCTATCAGTGGTATCTGATTCTAGAACATTTCCGTCATCCCGGAAGAAGCCCCTCACCCGTCACCCACTCCCTCCCCTCGCCTCCCCCGCAACCACTAATTCAGTCTGTCTCTACAAACGTGCCCCCTTTGGAAACTTGCGAATCACACAACATTCGGGCTTTCCTGTCTGATTCTCTCATTGAGCCTCATGTTTCTGAGGTTCGTTCACATTGTAGCAGGTGTTCAACTTCATTCCTCTGAATGGATACACTTGTTTCTTTATCTACTCCTCAGCTGACGGACATTTGGGCTGTTCCCACTTTTTGGCTGCCATAAACAGTGATAAACACAGGAGGGTGGGAGCTGACTGACAGCCGGGTGGAGCCCTGACCGGGGTATGGAACCTGGGCACGCTGAGCCTGCCCATGATGGACATGCAGGAGGATGTGGGCAGGGGAGTTGGCCGTGATGCCAAGGGGGCAAACGCTGGCCCAACCATGAGGAGCCTTTCCCCAAAGTCTGGATCTTTACTCTGGAGGGAACAGCAAACCACTGAGAGACGTCAGAGGAGGAGCAACGTGATGGGGCCTAGGCTTTGGAAGTCGCCCTTGGGGCTGGGCTCAGAGCAGATGGAGGGGCGGGGCAAGGGGCAGGGAGGGCCTGGAACTGTGTCTTCTGACTTAGTCCACTCACCTCAAAGCCTCCTCTCTCTCTTTTCTCTCCTTCTCAACCTCCTTCATGTTTTCCAGCTCCTTCTGCAGATCCGCCTTTGTCTGCAGGAGCTGCTTCACTTCCAAACTGAACAAGGAACCAGAGACATTTCAGCACCATTAAAACCTCTGCTCACCATTACCCAGGTCATCACAGAGCAGGAAAAGCTTTCAAGAAAATACGTGTGTAACCTCCGTACTCATGATGGGAGGGTGGAGAAAAGCCCTTCTTGGTAATGGCAGGGAGCCGGGAGCAGACCCGACTCCTGATGCCAGCTCATTCAGGTGTTTACTGGGCACCTGCTGTGTGCCAGCAACTGTCAGGTGCGGAGCCACTGGGTAGGTGCTGGCCCTGCTCTCACAGGCCTCACTGTCCTGGGGGAGAGGCATTCACCCAGCGGTCTCACAATTAGTGCCTACCTGTCCCTGAGATGAGTGCTGCCATAGGCCCGCCACCGACTGGGTGGTGGCACAGCCTGAGCTGAGGCTGGAGGACAAGGGGTACCAGGCGCCTCCAACCAAATGGCTTAGATGGGCTTCCTGAGCCGCAAGGGTGACACGTGGCTTTAAGACAGCCACTGCTTACTGTGGTGCTGACGTCAGTCAGCGCTCCATGAACAGGAGCTGTTCAAGCGACGGGCTAAGAGGTCAGAGATGCTAGCTACCGTTCAAAATGACAGCCTGTTTCTACAAGACCCCATCATTGCGTGGATGTTACACTTGGACTGGAGGTGAAAAAGCAGGTGGGGTGTGACACACTGTTCTGCTGTGACCAGAAGGCAGCAGAGACAGGTCCTTTTCAGATCTAACCGTGTGAACTAGTCACCAGGGGGTCTCACTGTGAGCAGAGCTGGAGTCAGGAGATCTGGGCCAGGCTGACATAACCAGCCCCAAGGTGGGCGGGGCCCGAGGGAGCACATCTCTCCAGCCCCCAGGTGGGTGGGGCCTGCCTCTGCCCAGCCCCCAGGTGGGTGGGGCCTGCATCTCTCCAGCCCCAGGTGAGTGGGGCCTGACAGCCTGCATCTCTCACAGCCCCTGGTGGGTGGGGCCTGCATCTCACAGCCCCTAGGTGGGCGGAGCCCGAGGACCCCCATCTCTCCAGCCCCAGGTGGGCGGGAGCAGGCCCTCTCCCCGAGGCCAGGCACCAGCGGTGCCGCACAACGGACAACGTACTCCTTTTCCTGCAGCTGGGTGTGCAGGGCATTCCGCTCGCCTTTCAGACTCTTCACCGCCCCCCGCAGACGCTCGCTCTCCTCCTGCCGGTCCTGCCGGTCTGGGCGCATCTGCCGGGGCCCCACGGAGCTGGACGTGGAGTGAGCAGGAGGGTTGGACCTGACCACCTCTGAGGCGTGGGATTTGAGGCTTTCCATCGAACTTATTTTCTGGAGGCAACAGACATCTGTTAGACGTTATTTCTTATTTCACTCTCCCAGAAAGGAGACCGTGGCCATCCCGAGCAAGGGACTGGGAAGAGCTCTGCGCAGGGCCTGAGGGCCTGGGACGCTGGCCGGGGGCAGCTCTGCTCCGCCAGAGTCCCGGGGGCAGAGGGCAGGGCGCCCACCAGCACTCCCTCCCGCCCCCGGAGCGGAGCGGGGAGCGCAGACCCGGCCTTAGAGAGCGAGGGCGAAGGGAGGTGAATCCATAAACCGCTTTTCTTTGCGCTCATCGATCCTCTTATCTCCCTAAACGTCTGGAACTTTCAGCCCTTCTGCTCTCCCGTCAGCCCTGCTCTGCCGGCCGTGGACACCAGCAGCTTCAGGTTCCCGCCGGGCAGCATCTCCGGGTGTGTGGAAAGGCGCTGCCCTGCCCGCTCCAGGACCTCTGGGGGCCTTTCTTTCCTAACAGGCTTTATTTTTAAACTACCCTCAACTAAACTTCTTAAGTCTTCTGCTTTGTAAACACGTGAAATTGTTATTTTTTATGTTCCTCTCTCTGTTTATTCTGCTCAGCCAGACAACTGACAGCTCTAACTTGATATCTGACCAGTACTCGAAAGACATCGGCCGTTCTGATCAACTTCAACAGCATCGCCCTGATTACACGTGCAAATTCACGGGGTCGGGGGCTGCGAGGAAATGTTAACTTCCTAACTTTTCTGGATGGCAAAGTGTGGATGCACAGTTTTCTGTGAGTTCAGACAGTAAACAAGTGGTGAGCGAAACCATCTGGTAAGTGACGGGCAGTAAAAAGCCCCCGGGGCAGGTGGATGTACGTCGGGCTGGGTTTCTGACAGGCTCTGGGATTCCATGCACCCACTACGGTTGCACACGGAAGTTGGAAATGGTGTGTGGGGTGAGCACACCTTGACACCTGTGACGCGAGGGACAGGAGTGACACGGCCGTTAGGTCTTGCCTGGACCCTAGGAGCCTCCTCTCGCCAGCGCATCCCGTGTGCCGTCCGGAGACAGACAGCCACTGTTTACACGCTCCATGAGACCTGTCTCCCTCCATAAGACCCCCATCTGTCCCCCGCATTCTGATGCCCCAGCACTCTCGCAGGGCGGCCCTGAGCAGGGAAGGTGACGTGACACGCCCACCACTCACTTTCTCCAGCTCTGCGATCCGCCGGAGCAGCCGGGGCTTACTCCACTCCACGTAACCTGAAGGCAAACGGGGTTGGACGGTCACTCTTCGTACAGCCCTCCCGAGGGGCCCCTTCACGAGGACCCCCCCAACCCCCTGTCTGGAGCGCAGCCTGACAGCTCCCCTCCACTGGCTGGCCCCTGCAAGGCGGGAGCTCCACACCCAGCAGATCTGTGGCAAAGGGCGGCTCCAGGGTGACACAGCCATCCCCTTCCCTGCAGTCATGGGCACTAATGGTCTCCCGATGCTCAGAGTGACCCCTCCCCTGACTCTGTCCCCAGCAGGCTAGGGCCCCACCAGCCCATCAAGATGGTCCTTCTGAAGCTCACTGGTGGGGTCACTCTGCCAAATCCAAAGCTCCAGTCTCAACCCTCATCCTCCTGGGCTCATCAGCACATCTTCCCCCCAACACTTCCTTCCCCTGGCCTTCCAGACGCCCCCAGCACCTCTGCCCTCTGGGCACCACTGTGTGATCCCTCCCCTCCGCTCTGCCCACTCACTACGGGGTCTGACTCTCACCAGGCCCTCTGGCCCCTGACGACCCGCAGCTTTCTCTCTCCTGCCGAGGCCCTGCCCTGACTCACTGATGCGTCTGACCCCCCTGGGCCCTGGAAGAGGACACCCGCAGACCCTCCCCGTTCCCCCTCGCTGCAGTCAAGGGCACCTCTGTCCTCTCAGGAGCTCAGACAAAAACTGCAGAGAGACTCCCCGTCTCACAGGCCACACCCAATCTCCGAATGCATGGAGCACCTGGCCATCTCTCAGCCCTCAGCGCCACCTGGTCTGGGCCACAGCAGCCCCTACAAGGACCATGAGGAAGCTTTTGTCTTCCCGGTCCCCCCTCCCCCACACAGCGTCCACCCAGCTCAGAAGAGGGGGTCCTTGAGAGACAAGTCAGACACTTCTCACCTCTGCTCAAACCCTCTGTCCTTTGAGTGACCATCAAGGCCCTGTTTCTCGCCTGCCCCCACTTCTGTCTTCATTGCCACGACTCCCACCGCTACCTGGCTGGGCACGGGGCCGCCTCACTGGCCTGCAAACCTGCCAGGCACACTCAGGGCCTCTGTGCCCGCTGCTCCCCAGCCTGGAGTGCCCTTCCCCCGCTGTGGGCGTGGCTGTCCCTCCCCACCAGGCCTGTGCTCAGCTGTTGCTGTGTCATGGGGCCTTCCCGGACCCCATCACAGGTGCACACCACAGCCCCTGACCCGCTGCCTCCTTCCCGTTACTATGCTTCACAGCACTATTCCCAGCTGACGCACGCGCATTTGACCTGCTGGCTTCTCCTCTGTCCGCTAGGACGCACCTCCTCGGGGATCCGCACATGTTCCTTCTACTCTACCTCCAGTGTCTAGAACAGTGCCTGGCACAAAGCACCACGTTTTGGAATACACTTTGAAGCAGTGTGGCCCAGTGGTCTGCATCTGCAGACAGTGAAACAGGCCTTGGTGGCTGGGAGGGAAGGAGGGAGGGAGGGCCGGGACCCTCTGGCAGGCACCACATCTTCCCGCTGGGGGCATGGGACATGGACCCTCTGCTGGCATCTACTCCCCCCGCCCCCACCTTGGTGGTTCTGGGAAGCAGGTACCCTTTATCTTGGAGATGGTGGGGGAGTTGCTCAGCATGCGGTCCAGGTCTTCCTTCAGGCTCTGGTTCTCCTCTGTGAGCTCCTGGACGCTGCGGGACAAGCTCAGGAAGGCACTGCTCATTTTTTTCTGCTTTTTAAGGCCGATTTTCTTCTCCACTGGAGGCCTAGGAGCAACAAGACCAAGTGGCCAAGGCTGAGTTCCTCAACTGGCTCAATCCACGTCCAGACTGAGGGGTAGGCGTGTGATGTCCTGGGGGCTCAGAGCAGTTTCTGCAGACTAATGTTTGCAGCTTAACAGGGAACACTAACTTTGAACTCCAGACGGGAAGCTGTTATCCCCCCCAACCCTCCTCATTAGCAAACCCGTGTAGCAAAATACTGCATCCAGCCATTAGTAGTCGGTTTTAAATAGTGCCACTAAAAAATGCATGGAAATTTCTTGTCTCTATTGTTCCAAACGTACCGAGATACTAGTTTTGATTTTGTCTCTTATTCCACAAAGTCTAAAATAGTCGCACCCCATTATTCATAGATTCCAAATCTGCAAATTCGCCTTCTCGCTAACATGTATTCGTAACCCCCAAATCGACAGCTGTGTGCCTCTGTGGTCACTCTGAGGCACGGGCAGAGGGGAGGTGTGTCTGAGCCCTGGGCGGGCACCTCTGGTCTCAGATCTTGTGCTGTCAGTAGGGTGGTTTTCGTGGTCTACCTGGTGCCTCACGTTTGTGCTCTCTGTTGGCGGTTTCACCATTTTAAATGGTCCTTGCAGTGCAGTTTGCAGTCACTAAAAGTAAGTGACTCAGGAGGAACCACACATGTGTGTTAGACCAGCTTTGTTCAGCCCGAGTCACAGTGCAGCTGGTCGTGCATGCAGCGTTGATGAACCAACAATGTACACGAAATACGGTGTCCGTCAACAGGAACACACACAACGGCAGGTTTCATGCTGCCTGGCTGACGGAAATGCTGTGACCACTCCGGGAGCAACGGGAATCGACTGTGACTCCTGCCTGGCCCTTTACAGAGTTTGCCAACCCCCATTCTAAACGACTAGGGGGAAACAGAAAAAGGGGAGAGCGTGCCTGGCAGTGTCCGTGCTCAGCAGTGTCAGCGACTCACTGCAGGGGCCGGGGCCACAACCAAATCTATGACAGTGGCCACTCCATCCTGAGTCTGTTAAAAGCGCAATGTCGTCTCGGAAAGGGCCAAGGGGTACAGGAAATCGACCAGATAAGGAAACTCTGCTGTCTCTCCTAGGAAACCTGCGTGGCAAGGTGAACTCATACTTGGTACTAAGTGCCTTCCTGGAAGGAAGGTCTGCTTTGAAATTAGGTCTGTTTCCTAATGCTCTGCTGGAAACGTTAAGCAGTTTGAGCGCGGAACACGCTGTCCGGCGTCAGCGCGTGGCTGTAGCGAGGCCACAGCTGCACCGTCCCAGGGGGAAGCATCGGCTCTAGCCATGAACACAGCAGGGCGCTGCTCCTAAGTTTTGGGCAGTGTCTGCGGTCTCCACGCAAGGCCTGCACCACTGAGGGCAGCTGACCGGGAAGGCAACCCACAAAACATGGCTCCCAAAGAGAGGCTCATACGTCTTCCCTGTCGTTTCAGAACTTGCCAGGAGAGTCTGGAGACGACGAGTCTGTAAACATCAAGGTAAAGTGCAGTAAATACAACACGAGACCAGCAGAGACCTTCCTCTGAGAACCCGGGGCTCAGTCCCAGCTTCTGCCCGGGCAGCAGGTAAGCGCTGTGTTCAAGCTGAGATGGACCAGAGGAGGTTCCCACGGCGCACGCAGCCAGGCCAGCACGCACCCTCCCGCACTCTCCCAGCCCGCACCCTGCTCTGGGCGAGAGGGCACACACCTCCTCGTAATACGTCTCCATGGCGACCCTCATCTCCTCCAAGTTGGTAGTCTTCATGTCAGTCTGCAGTTTGCTGAAAACCCAAGTTCAGAGTTAACGTGGCAGACTGCCAGCACTCCCAGGCACAGCAGGAGGAAGTGTGTTTCCCAGAACACCGGACAAGGACGGGCTTTGGAAGAGAGCCGGCTGGGTGGGTGGGGGGAGCCTGGGCCGGCCCTCAGCTGGCAGGAGGCCTTGCACAAGACGGATGAGGAGAGAACTCCCGCCCCCACAGGGCCCTTCCATGTGGGACCAGCCACTTTCCAGGCTGAGGTAACAGACTCCCAGGGGACAGTCTCTGCTTTAAGAGGCTGTCTTTAAAAACTGGAGTAACTATGGAGAAAGACCTCAGGGTTAGACAGGACAAGTCATCTTTGGGGAAGGTGGGGAGATGTTCTTGTCCTCAACTTTTCACAGACTTTAGGCACAAGGCTCTAACAGAGAAAGGAAAGTCAAGTCACCGAGTGCAGCAATCTGAACCAGAAAAGCCCAGCCAACAATAAATGCTTAAAGCCGACAATTTCAGCAGAGACAAAAGGGAGGGAGAGCTAGTGTATAAGAGGGTACACGGGGCAGTAGAAAGTGAAAACGTAGATTTCCTTAGATAAACTCAGACACAGCGGGGAAAGACTCTCCCTTGGTGACCCAACAGCAGGAAAGGAGTCTGTGTAGCAGCACTAGAAACAGCGCCAGGGTAGGTGGGGCACCGCACAGCAAAGACAGGCAGCCGGCGAGCGCGTGGCCGAGCGCTCACGGCTCGCATCGAGGTCCCTAAAGTTCACGCCGGAGTAAAACGTGGTCACAGAAGACGACGGAGGGAAAGCGTTTCTCCAGCGTAACAGGACAAGGAAGGATTAGGGAGAAGGAACACTGTTCCTTGGTGACGTCTGGAAGAGGGAGCAGAAAGGTGAAGCTGGGACAGGGACGTGGGCGGAGGATGGACGTGGGAAGCGCAGCTGCAGCTGCGGAGACGGCGAACGCGGGTGGTGAGAGCCGCAGGATGCGCGTGCACGTGCGTGTGCGCATGCGTGCGGCCCAGCCGGCCTC